CCCCACTATTTTAACATTTTCTGGTGGGAGTTACTGTTCACAGTGAGAGGATAATTTGCAGAAATTCAATTGTTTCAAATTAAAGTAAATATATAAATAAAAATTAACGGTAGTCTAACAGTAATAAGCTATACCATGCTGCGCATTAGTGTGGCTGTGCTTTGATGGCAGTCTGCTAATGCACAACCTACTTCTATTTGTTATGGTAATGCAGCCCCGTTTGGAAGGGGTTTTTTTTAAAGCTAATTCATCTTTTTCACTTGCCTCTGGCTTTCTTTACAAGATAATTCTTCTGCATTGTTGCTCTGTACTCTTACTGTTTTGTTTATCTGCACTACATTGTTAATCACTAGTATAAAGATTTGGGGTAGAATTTTCTTGGAGCGTTCAGTGCTGCTCTAGTCCTTCCCTCGCCCTTCGAAATTCAAGGAGCAGACAGGCCAGGGCTGAACACTTCTGCAGATCCTACCCTGAAAGTTTTTAATGCCCTTCTGAAGTTTAAGGTTGACAATAGAGATTGAGGTCTTCTCCATACAAAACAGGTACAGCATGGACGTGAAAAGGAAAATTTCTTCCTACTACCTTATTGTTCACAGAGCGGTTGCTTCCAAAATTGAGAATATAGGTCATCCTCTGGGCACGTTCATGTTCAACTGTGGTGGTGATATTTGTGGTACACAACTACTTGCTAGTAATTGCACATAGACCACCCATTTATTTCTTAACTGATGGTTTTGAATTAATTTGGGAATAAACTAGAACACAACTAAATTTAATGAGACTCTATTGATGGACAGGTGAAAGATTCTGTACTGGACCACCAGTCCTCTGAGCCATCCGTTCCCGGAGGTGGGGAGAGGGAGGGGGACCCTGGATTTCTAAGTGTTATCAAGATGTAGATTTTCTTTTTTTGTATTTTCTTAAGATACTACCATAGCAGGAAAAGAGTGCAGAAGTTATACCCATACTAAGGCCTTCCACTTTTCCAGTGTAACTAATTTTTCTAAAAAATACATAACTGGTATTTAACTTAAAATAATTTTTATAGGCTTTTTATGTCTTTTTGAGTCAAATTCACTTTCTGCCAACAATTTTCCTTATTTTTCATAGTTACAAGTGACTTGATCATATCTTGAATAATCAATATTTTAATGTAGAAAACTGTAAAAATATTTCTCTTTTTAAATGCATTAAAACAATCATAAATAGGAATGCATATGAAAATAAATTATTAAGGCTTGTGTAGTCAAGTTAGAGACCCGTATTTACACAGCAGGTTTCCCTCAACCAATGAGTTATAGCATGTAGGTCCTTTTCCCTCAGAATGGCTACTCATCTCATTTCATTCGAGTCTTTCTCAGCATGTGTATATCCCTGCACCACAGAGTCCCTCTTTCTTGGGATTTGGGGAGTGGTGGGTCAGGAAAGCAATTTGGTGGGAGAAGGTGTATATTTTAGTCTCTGCCTATTTTTTCTTGTATCACTTCTATTTGGCAGTTCAGACAGCTTTCTAGGCAGTTGTATACCACCAATTCTAAAAAGCAGTTTTTAACGATATAATGCCCCCAAAGAGAATTTTAAAATCATAGCCTAAACGGTATTTAGCACTAGCATCTTGATACTGGAAATACATCTCGACAGAAAATTAGTAGGGAGGCAGATGCTGTAGGTTAGTTGCTTTTTTGTGTGTGAAGGAAATCTTGCTACAGCTAACGTCATGAAGAGGGAGCTTTTGTGATGTGCATGTATGTATTATAAATCATTCTAACCTTTGCAGAACTTGCATTTTGCTGACATTTAAAATGCTGCTTCTTGAAAGACCATCCTGTAAGAATAGAATATTTTACCAGAGAATATCAGGTAAAATGAGTCAGGATTTACCAGTGTCCTGAGAGAAGTGAGTTGATACGCTTTTTCAGAACAATGGTTAATTCTTTGTTCTAAATGGCTCATGTTAGTAATGATTTATAATGATATACTTTGTAGGTGATGACATCCAGTAACTTCTACAAAAGCTTTAAGAAAGTCTACACAGAATTCATATCTGCTACAGTCTGCGTTCATGTTTTATTTAGCACAGTGATGGTAGCACTAACAAGTAAACTCAATCAGTTCATTTAAAAAAAAAAAAAATTGGTAGTCTTCCTAAAATTTTAAAGCTTTTCTCTTTGAATTTTGCAGCTGACATGGGCTTTGCCCGATTATTTAATTCACCTCTGAAGCCTTTAGCAGACTTGGATCCAGTAGTTGTAACGTTCTGGTATCGAGCTCCAGAGCTGCTTCTTGGAGCAAGGCATTATACCAAAGCTATTGGTAAGTAAACTGGATAAAAATTTACTCTTTTGTTCTTTATGCAAAATCTACCCAAATACTGAAGCACTGATAAATGTACAAAGGACAGTGGCTGAGTTAAAGGGATGTTACTGATTCTTGAGGAAATACTAAACTTTGACAAATTGTTTCATTTACTGTGGTCTCTGGACAGATATAGGAATTAAATATTTCTGGGTTTTGGCTCCAAATGGCCTGTGATGTGGTATAATTTTATGTGACTTTCCCCCAAGATTTTCATAAATGCTGTTAGAGGTTATACACAATACAGACATCTTTGAACTATTAGTAGAATATGCATGATGATGATGAGGCATGGTGCATTAATTTTATTGCGGAGGTTTTTATGCAGTGTAGTAAATACATGAAATAGGGAGTGTGCAGAATGGAGAATATATTGGCTGCACTGAACTCAGCTGTAAAAATAAGCTGTATTTTAGCCTCTTTCTGTGCCTTTTTGAAAGCACAAGTGTGAATAGGAATTGCTTGAAGTGGTGAGATGTGATCAAGGTCATGCAACAGGCTAAGCTGTGATGCTACATCAGGCATATCCAGAAAAACTGAAGCCCCACAGAACGCAGACACTGTCAGGATGGCATTAGTGACATCAGCTTAATGCTGTATCTTCCTCATCGCTTACTTCATACTTATCGGTCTGAATTTTAACAGCTTTGGCATGGTGTGGTTGACTTTGCTCTGCCAGTCTCTGCTCTTGCCAGTTGAGGGGCAAGGGATCGCTGACAGCAGGAGCAGTTGTGTCCTGTGGCTGTAGGACAGGAGGAGTAGCCCAGCAGCAGACTGGAGGGAGGTTCACCCTTAGTGGATGTGAACAGCTTTGCCATGGAAGGAAGAGAGACTGTAGGAAAGAAAACTGGGAAGTTTTTCTCTTGTGGCTGGTTTGCAATATGTGTTAAAGCGTGGCAACTATTTCTGGGGACTGACTTCCCCTGCAACGCTCCACTTACGTTGCACAACCATGGAGGTTGTATGTCACGTACATGTTGTTGTTTCTGTAACCTGAAATTCTTTCCTTAGACCTTCGCTGTTATTTTTTAAGATCATGTCAGTGTGTTTGTCAGAAATCCTAACGTTTATGACTTCAATGTATTTTCATTTACTTATCTGTTAATAGTGTATTTCTTTTATAGATTAAATAGATTTCTTTAAATGTTCTTTTAAACAGCTTTTTTGTTGTATTTGCACATTCCTTTGCTTTACTGGCATTTTCTTCTGCTTGCAGCATGAGAATCTGCATGGATGGTCATAGCCTTTAGTGCATTTTTTTTTTTTTTTTTCAGCATAGATAAAAACTGACTGTATTCAAACACTGAGTAATGGGGTTATGCTCTCTGCATCATTTGCTTTTGTCCTTGTTCATGACCTTTTCTTGTTCATTCAAGGTTCAGAGTAGCATTACTTTATTAAAGTTTAAAATTGCATTTGTATGTACTAGGAAAAAAAATCAGGAAAACAACTGAACAACTGATAAAATTCAGGCTATCTGATTTTGCAGCTTGGGACACAACAGTTAAAATAGAAAGGGTGGGAGGGGGTTGTTTTTTAAAAATGAATGTTATCAAAAAAAAAGGGGTGAGGTATGTGGGCACAGAGCGATTTTATTGTTAGTCTTTCTGCAAGGTTTTATAGATAGCATTTGGCTTATTCCAATATCGCTGCTTTTCAACTTGTATTTTTGGGGTCATTTAATACTTAATAAACCCAGTGGCTGATCAGAGAGGGCACCTTTCTTGGCAGGGACAGTATGGCAGTGGATGGGCAAGATGTTGATTGGCTTTTCTTCATTTTTGTTTTATGTGTGGACAGCTATCCAAATAGTTTCCTTTAGTTTTTTTCTTAATCAATTTTTTTTTTACAGCAATAAAGGGTAACTAAATTTTAAAAACCCCACAAAAACTTCTGCATAGTTACTCAATGTGTTCCTCTATCCACAGCTAAAAGGAAAAGTCGAGGAAGTGTTGCACTTCAACAGAAACTTGAAATTTTCAATGCAGCGACCTTATCTCTGATAAGCTAAAAACTAACATTCTGCCTCACCAAGATGCTTTTGGAAAGATTAACTTGATTTTTTTAAAAATTTCTGTTCTCCTTTTTTAAAGATATTTGGGCCATAGGGTGTATATTTGCAGAGCTGCTAACATCAGAGCCAATATTCCATTGTCGACAAGAAGATATCAAAACTAGTAATCCTTATCACCATGACCAGCTGGACAGAATATTCAATGTAATGGGATTTCCTGCAGGTACATACTGTATATTTTTTATCACTGCTGTTCAAAGAAAGATAACTGTATTGCTTTCTTTGCATATGAAGGTGGCAGCTGATCAAAGCAACAAAGCTGTTCAAACACAATCTTTACTTCATGAATTATGAAGCTAGAATCTAATGGTCATATTAGATTTTTTTCCTATTATTAATGATAGGATTATATTTGAGTATACACATACAGTGTTTTATAACTTTAAAAGATCACATTTAATGGTGGATGATTAAAAATCAGAAGGAATATTTCTGCATTTCTTCAATACTTGATAGATTTGGAAAGTGACTGATGAATGTACAAAACCAAGCGAAGATCTATACATTTAGTGAATATTTTGCAGATGTTTAACTCATGCTAAGTTAAACATAGCATTTGGAAATAGGGAAGGGTATTTAATTTTTTTTTTTCCCATTTAGAAAGCTTGTGATATGAAAATTTCTTTATTCCAAACCAGAACAAAGAACTGATTGCATGAACCAAAACAAATTACAATGTGGATATCACTTGTTGCATTTTCCCCTCAGTGTTGGACATATCTTGTTTTTCTACAGGCTGTCTTGCATCTTTTAATTTAATGCTTTATCTTCTGGTGTTCACATGATTGCAGATGTTAGAATAACAGGGTCCTTATTTTTACTTTTTAGCTATCTTTTTCCTCACTGCTTGTGTTCCCTGCAGTTGTCCATTCACTATTAATAATCTTTTTCTTTACTGTTCTGGTGGACTTCCTTCTTCCTGTCACATGAATTTTGTGGGTTTTATATTTGTGTGGTTCTAGAATTTTGTTATTAAATTTGCTCTTATTTTTCCCTTTGACTTTTTTTTGTCCTGTATGTACTTCATTGCTTCTATACTGCTGTATGAGATTCCTGGAAGTCTTGCCTTTGCATATTAAGTACTTCTATCTTCTTGAAAATCCCCTTTAAGTTTGCTTCTTCAAGCAACACTGTCCTTTTCTGCTTTTAGCCTAGTATTTTACACTTTTCTTATGCTTTTCTTCATTTGGGTTTTACATTGTATTTGTGTAGCTTACATAAATATCTGATAGTCTCATTTTTGTTTCCTTAATTGATTGGTTTAAATAACCCTTTCTAATGGTCTGCATTTGATTTTTGAAGGTCTCTGGTTCTTACTAAGAAATACTATTTTTTGTTTAATTGTGGCAAATTTTTTGCATTTAAATTGACAACTGTGAAACAATATGTGAAACAGTTTCATATGTCTTTGGGATAGGGGATAGGGAAGGAGTAGAATCTTTTATTTCATTAATAACTAAATAATTAATCTCTTATTTATTCACTTATTTTTAAGCTCCCAGTGCTCTGCAATTGTGATAAGACTTAGTAAAGATTTGACTTGACTCAAACTATTTGCCCACAGAGTCTTTTCACCAGTTATAGTGTGTAATACATTTGGGGCTACATGCTGGTAGTAATTTTTTTGTTCTATTTTAAAATCCATTTCAGACTTTGCCTACACAGAGGAGTTGAGGTGAAATATTCTTTAATTTGAGTGTGCAAATGTTACTTTTCCTTAAGCTTTTGTTGACTAAGAGTATTTCTTTTTATGGTGAGACAGCAGAATGTCCCCCTGGGCATTTTCCGGTAGCTAAAGACAGTGCTGTCAGAATGGAAAATCCCTTAGAAGGGGACAGCGTTTGCAGGAGGCTTGTGTACTCCTGTTTTTGTAAAGTTCTTGAGTTAATAATCGCACAACTTGAACCTCTCAGGTATTGGTATTGTGAAGAGGTGATGAAGGAATGTGAGCCACTGAGTACAAAGAAATAAGTAACTGCAAAGTTAGAGGAGCAGACTAAAAAAACAACCAGGGCTATGGAGATACTCGGAAAGCCTTTGTTTTACTTGGGGGAGGGGGGGAGAAAAAAAGTTATTAATAAATATTGATTTTGCAGATAAAGATTGGGAAGACATAAAAAAGATGCCTGAACATTCAACTTTAATGAAAGATTTCCGGAGAAACACGTAAGTCTGCTTTGAGTTGAGCTTTCTTAAGAAAGCATGTTTTACTTCTCCCTCCTACCCTAAATTTCTTGTAGCTCTATTTGTTTTCTACATAGATACCAAATAAGGACTATGAAATGGTTATGACTTAGATTATGAAAAAAAGAAAAATAAAGTTGTTTCATGATGGTGAACTTGGCCTGTTGAGGTGGTGTGAATCAGACGAGCAGGCAGAGACAGACTGTGAATGGTAAGGTGGTAGCAGATGTGCAACGGGTGATGCCAGTAAGGCCCCACACGGCTGTGAAGATTGCTAAGCACAGCTTGTCACAGCTGTTTCCAAATCTGTGGTACGGGAAATGATTTTTTCTATGATAGCTGCTTAAAAGGGATTTGGTAACCTTAGACTGTTTCCAGCAAACAGTGGGTATAATTGTCAAGTTTGGTGTCTAGGGTAGCTTATGAAGGCTACAGAAAAGAATACCTTTCCGTTTTGCTGTCACATTGCCAGAGTCTAATACTTGCACTTAAGTCTCTACCCTGTTGCCTTGTTTCCATGCTGAGGGGTTTGGGGCTGTACGGTTACATACATTTCTTGCATCTGCCATGCTGTTGTAACCATTTAGAAACCTTATTTCTGAGCTCCTCTTCAGAAAAGTGAATTTATGGATGTTCTTGTAGCAACCTGGACACTGCAGGAGAGTGTTAAGATAGGCTTAGTATTTATCTCCACGTTTACTGGCATTAGAGATATACAGAATGATACACTGTATAGTAGCTAAATTGCTAAAAGGCAGTTTAAATCCAAGCAATAGCTTGGTGTCTGCATGTGGGTTAAAAGTGTGCTTTTTACATGGATGTGATGTGTTTTTACAAGGATGTGAGGGAAACATGCATTTCTGTAGTGCCTGAGTGATTTTTAAGCAAACTCTGTCGTTGATAGTTGTGATTTTTCCCTGCTTAGTGGATTAGCACTGGAGACTAAACTATTCTTATCAATGTTTCATGGCTACTAAGAGAACTTTGCTGTATCAGATTTGCATATTAGAAGTGTCACATTTTTTTCCTTCTCTAGGTATACCAACTGCAGCCTTATCAAATATATGGAAAAACATAAAGTTAAACCAGATAGTAAGGCATTCCACTTGGTAAGTTCTTGCATGCATACAAACTCAAAACCCTCGTATTAAGTTACAGGTGTTCAAGTTGAGAGTTGAGCTGATGTCAGTTATTCTGTGACTAACTTTATTATTTAACACCCTCTGGGTGAAGAACCTTTTTGTAAAGTCCAGATGTTTACATAGGTGAGGAAACTAGTCCTCTGTGTTAGAGATTCTGGATTTTTGATGGATCTTTTTATCCAAGCAGAACCAAAAGCTGCTGAGCAATCTGTATATTTGTATGTAATGCATAAAAAGTTTATGTTGATATGTGAAGAACTGAACTGCCTGTTATGCACAGGCAAAGCAGTCCATCCCATTTTGCCCAAATTAATCCAGTTCTTACCATATAGATACTTATAAAAGAGCTTCAGAAATGTATTTTTAGGAGTTACAAAGATCTTATTGTTTGGTATGAAATAGATCTTAAAAAGGTATATTGGACATGGAAAGTATATAATATCTCATATTCATATAAATGCCTAAATAGTATTTCTGAAAATTATATTAAGTAATTCAAGAAGCGAAAAACAATGAACTTGAAATATCTGTTGTATATGATGTTTTGCACAGAATGGGGTTTGGATATAAAAAATAGTCCTTGGACTCTTAAGTAAAGCAAATTGAGTGAATTTGCAGATCTTTCTCATCAGCCACTCTAGGCCAGTGTTCCATAAAATTATGCAATGCATGCATTGGTACTTAACCTTTCTAACTCCGCCTTCTTCAGGAACAAGCATGCTGCTTGTCAACTACAGATTTGACTTGTGACATATTTGGAGTCCAGAGCTCTCAAAATTAAGCTTATGTTACTGTACCAAAAGCTGAAAGCGGGTATTTATCACTAGTGGTGGATAGCTGAGAAAACTCAGTCAGTTCTGCCTATTAAAGTCAGTTGCATTAGATTTTCATATCATACCTAGGCAATCTGAGGTAAAAGCCTTTTCCATGCAACAACCTGTATAGCATGGCCAATGACTTCATCTTCAAATAACATTTGAAGGGAAGGGACAGGGAATGGGGGTTGCAGTCAGTTCATCTCTGCTGCTTCTTTCTGACGCGAGATCCCTCCCATGGGCTGAGAGAGCTCAGGAACAAAGTGTTCCAATATGGGCTTCCCACAGAGTCATGAACTTCTTTGGGCGCAGAATGCCCCTCCACCAGAGCCTGAACAAGTTCAGTGAATCTCTTGGTATCGTTTCTTCCAGAGATACTCCAAGATCTTGCTCTTCCACAAGCTGTCTCACAGCCCTTTTACTTCCTGCATCAGAACAGATAAAAAAACCTGTGTACATCTACTATTGTAAAACATGCCAGAACTAATAATTCCAGGACTAGTAATTCCAGAGATTGTTGTCATTGCCAAAAATGAAATGTTTTGATTTCCCAACTTGAATTAACCAGATTTTTTGTGCTTTACTGACATTGATGCACATGGTTCCCTTTTACATGCAGAATGGATGTGTTAACATGAGACAACTTTGGCTTCTTCCTGCTCTTGCAGCTTACATTTTTTCTCACTTTCACTTTCCTGATTTCTTTTCTACTTATTTGTTTACTCCCTAGAAAATGGGTACAAAGCTGCTGCTCCTGGTTAATTGAGTGCTGCTTCATCTTCCATTTGGTTACTTTGGTCCATGTGAATTGTAGTGATTGTACCATTCATTGGTGATATGTGCAGTTTACTGCATTTTTATTGTGTCATTCAGCCAGATGATCTTTTAATTGAACAGTTTTTAAAATAGAAAATATTTGCAATAATAAGTAGAAGATTTAATTTCTGTGCTGGCACCTGAACAAGAGGGCAGAATAGGAGTTTTGATCCCCTGTGCGATAATGGTTGCACGATCATTAAACTTCTCATGTGGTTTCTGTTTTGTGTTGCTGATTATGACCAAGTTTGCTCACATCTTGTCAGCATGTGATGGACAGCTTTATAACCTAACTGCCAGAAATGATGCCAGAATTTTGCAATGTTTTTTGATTGTGATATTTTTCAGCATGTTGGCAATTCTTTCTCATTTTTTGCCTTCCTCTTTTCTGGCTCCTGGGATTGCTTTTTGAGCTCTTTGAGAGAACAAGAATTGTTCTGTTCAAACTGATATTCTACAAAGACTACATGCAGACTCAGAGAGCTGAAATAACTTATTGTGAGTCCTTGTTAATGATGTGAAAAACAAAGCTGTATTGATGGTGGTACTACATATTTATTATGTTCTTAACCATGCTATTAAAACTGAGGGCTGAGAAGAGAAAATGTACTTTCCTAACCTGAGCTATCTGCAGCGTGGAGCTCTGCATTATGGTTGGGTAGGCTCACTTAGTAGCTCGTGAAAGGAGATGGCCAGTTCAGACACAGATTGTGCCACTGGATCTTTATAAAAAGGTGAATTTAATACCATGAAAAGTATGAATAGCAAATGTAAAATGAATATTATTTGCAAATTACATCCAAATTTACATATCTTATTAGATCCATGGGGGGCGGGGGGGGGAAGCTTTAGTTTGAAAGTGTAGCATTTCTTTTAAAGGTCGTTGTCTTTGACAATACATCATGGTGTAGTTTTGCCTTGGTCACTGTATTCTATGTTGAAACATAAAGACTCAGGATTTTTCCTTTTTCTGTGTAGTAGTTGAAATTTATCTTATTCTACCCATATTTGTTGCTTGCCCAGTGCAGCTCTAGTCCGCAGAACTGCTGGGTGCGTGGGGAGAAATATGTGCATGTACACCAGCCCTTTTGAATAAGAAACACTTACTTTTAGAATGTATCACTGCAATTCAGTGCGAGTTAAATAAAATCATTCTGGTCTGCTATTCCTAAAACAGAAAAATCTTCAGACCCGTGGAGACAGCATGATGTTTCTAATGTGTTTTTTATTGAAAATCACTGTTGAGATGCTGCAGTGACAAATGCACAGAAAGCTTCTGAAATGTTTACGTAGGTGAAAAATGAGAGTGGAAGAGTAGAAACAGTACAAACAGCAAAATGGTTTTTAGAATTACTTTTCAATCTTTAATGTTGTGCTGAATTTAGTCTTCATGTCTGTTATTGCTATTTGAAGTTACTGAAGAGAAGTTCCTGGCTGTGTATCCTAAACACTTCTCGTAGCATGTCCATCTAAGTACCAGTATTTGTAACTCTATACAATTTTTTTTCACTTTGTTTTGGTTAGGTCAATTTTATTTTCTTAAATTTTCATTTGTGTATTACCTTAGGATTTTTGCTCTGCTATGTGTTACCAAAACATCTTGTATGCCATTTTTTGAAGTTGGACACCAGGCAGCAAAAACCTAGTGTGCTGCTTAGCCCTCTGTTAACCCTTCCCATCGGGAGAAAGAGGTGCTTTCTCAAAGGGTGAGGTTTTGCTGGATTTTCAGTTGAAATGAGTTCAGCTATTTTGTAGAACATTATACTTTGCCTTCTCTTCTACATATTTATGCTTTGTGGTCATCTTCATTGTTTGTAACCAACACAAGCATTTTGGAAAGATTTTTTTTTTCGCGTGGTTAATACCCGATTTATCATTTGTTACAAAGATAGAGGCTGAGATCTTACAGTGATAGTGCAGCAGCACCAGAGCTCAGTTGATGTGCTCATGCAGGAGGCATCTTATTAGACTAGAGTATTTTGCATCATGTCATGCAAAAAAATCAACTAAAATTCAAAGTTTTGCACAACTGCGCTTTTGAGCAGCATGTAGCTCACGGATGTGTCGTGAGTCCATATTAGTCAAAATAAACTAATACGCACTGGAATAGGTGATAGAAAGTTATCTGGCCATCTGGGGTTGTTGAACATGTTGATTATGACCTTTTACAGCATAAAGGTTTCCTAAGGAGTGACTTAATGTAACATCTTTAAAATATGGATAACAATGGAGATGTACTAATATGACAATACTAAATAATGACCAATAATGGACAACGAATCACTTTTGTTTATTAAGTGCTAGAATTGAATTTAGGTGGCTATGATGTTGCTTCCTGTGAAGTGCAGTGTACTTGAAGAAACCAGGCTAAATATGTGTGTGCTACATCTTCCTGTGGGAAATGAACAGACCATTAAAGAGAGAAGGACTTGGGGGTACTGGTGGATGAAAAGCTGGACATGAGCCAGCAATGTGTGCTCGCAGCCCAGAAGTCCAACCATATCCAAGGCTGCATCAAGAGAAGCATGTCCAGCAGGTTGAGGGAGGCGATTCTGCCCCTCTGCTCCGCTCTGGTGAGATCCCACCTGCAGTGCTGCCTCCAGTTCTGGAGTCCTCAGCACAAGAAAGGCATGGAGCTGCTGGAGAAGGTCCAGAGGAGGCCACAAAAGTGATCAGGGAGCTGGAGCACTTCTCCTATGAGGACAGGCTGAGAGAGTTGGGGCTGTTCAGCCTGAAGAAGAGAAGGCTCAGGGGAGACCTTCTGGCAGCCTTTCAGTACTTAAATGGGGTCTATAAGAAAGATGGAAACAAACTTTTTTAGCCAGGCCTGTTACAATAGGACCAGGGGAAATGGTTTTAAACTAAAAGAAGTTGATTTAGACTAGATATAAGGAAGAAATTTTTTACAATGAGGGTGGTGGAACACTGGCACAGGTTACCCAGAGAGGTGGTAGAAGCCCCATCCCTGGAAACATTCAAGGTCAGGCTGGATGGGACTCTGAGCAACCTGATCTAGTTGAAGATGTCCCTGCTCACGGCAGGGGGTTGGACTAGATGACCTTGAAAGGTCCCTTCCAACCCAAACCATTCTGTGATTAAAGGCGTTCGTACATCATAGAAACTCTTTTCATGTTTTTGTTAGAACATTTGTGACTGGAACTAACTGAGTGTCCTGGGCTTTGCAAGTAAAAATAGATCTTCTTCCAGTGGAAATTAAGTTACTGTTTCAACCAGAGACAATAATGTGGATATGCCATTTACGGTGAGGGTTTTGAGTTCAGGTGCATTTGTATCCGCTTGTCTTTCAGCAATAGCACATTGAAGTTTCTGCAAATGGTTTTGGTAAAGCAGAGCTTTTTATCTTTTATTTTTACAGCTTCAGAAATTGCTCACTATGGATCCAATAAAGAGAATTACCTCAGAACAGGCTATGCAGGATCCCTATTTCTTAGAAGATCCTCTTCCCACATCTGAGTAAGTGGTCAGTTTATTAACCTATCAGTACATCCAGAGATGCTTTAGAAATGTGTGCTTTCTCTCTGCTATAAATATGTTTGTGATTATTGAGCTAAATACTTTACTGTCTAACAACCAAAGAAAGCTATAACCACTAAAATGCCATTTGTGGTTTTTAAAATTAAGTAGCATTCTTATTAATCTCTTGCTTTATGGAACTTTGATCCTATTAGTCTCAGCACTAATCTTGTTATTCACTGACAGGTTGATTATGCATGCTACAGATATTTGTAGACAACTGCTAAGTGCCCGCAGGTTCACTTCTCTGCTCCAGAATGCCAGATGACACTCTCTAATTAGTTTACATTTTTCTGTCTTAGCCTTTGTTGTAAATTCAGTGGGTGGGGGAAGTCAACTCTGTCTCTGTGCTGTCATCCTTAACAGCTTAAATCCATTTTCTGTGGACCCTCCTCTTTTTTGTTTGTGCAGGGAGATTTACAAAAGAGAGAAAATTTAGGGACAGTGATTTCATTATATATTAAGCCCCCCTCCCAAAAGACTAGCGAGAGAGCATGATTGTACACCTTTGAGTAATGCCAACAGGTGTGCAAAGACTTTATTATAAATACATTCTACTGATTAAGGGCAGGTAAATATTAGCTCACGCTAGCAGTAGCAAATTCATGTGGACCATGAGATATGAATTGACAGATTAAATTTCTAGTTATTTTTAAACTTTGTTCCAGGTGGTTTTATTAATAGTCAGTGGAGTTTCCAAGAGTATTTTTAGTTAGTCCCGAGATTGTGAATTCCACAATAGCTGGATTACGATAGCTCTTCATGCCCTTGCAGATATCTAACAGGTCTACCTTTCCAGCCACCATTTTAGTCAGGAGTTACCAGAAACTGTGAAAACTATTAGGAATATAAATAAGTGTATGAGAGGCAACTGCAGATTGAAAATAAATGTGAATAGGTTTACTAAGTTTAGAATATGGTGAAAGAAAGACAGGGAAAACTTCTTCATTAGTTACAGGTATTAGACTGTGTCTTAGGCAACTTGAAACTAGCATGGGTGAAGTATGAATCTTACAGGTCTAACCTTTCTGTTCTAATACAGTGATAAATAGACTTTTTTGGGGGGCAGTGTTTTTGCAGGTTGTCAAATCCCTTACCCAAAACGAGAATTTTTAACAGAAGAAGAACCAGATGATAAAGGAGACAAAGTAAGTACTGGAAGAACAGTATCATTATGCTTCACAGGCTTTCACACTATTTCCTGTTTTCATGTTATTTCTTGTACTGCTTTTGAGTTGAAATTCTTCTTTGTGTTTAAACAATTGAGAAGAACCAGCAGCAGCAGCAGGGCAATAACCATACGAATGGAACTGGTCATCCAGGGAACCAAGACAACAGTCACACACAGGGACCCCCACTGAAAAAAGTGAGAGTTGTTCCTCCTACCACTACCTCAGGTGGACTTATTATGACCTCAGACTATCAGGTATTTGATTTATTCATATATTGTGTATTTGGTTCTCATGTTTACAGCAGTGTTTTTTTAAACTAAAAAAGTAATTTTGTAAATGCCGCTGTATTAACTGGTATTTTGGGGGAATCTTTCAGATGTTTTTTCAGATTCATCAGTTGATGATTAGCCTGTAAATTGATATACGGATACTCTTTAGGTTAGCAGTAAGGAAATCAGTATCAGAGATCATTACAGTTACTAATTTATTACCTTCATATTAGGGAGTGCTGATTGTGGACCAGGAGGCTGTTGTGCTGCGCTCTGTGTCACCTAAAAATACCATTCCTTATTTGAATGAGCCTGTAATGGTAGGAGGCAAAAGGTATTGCAGTAAACAAGCTGTGGAATAAGAATCTGAACAGGGCTTTTAATTGAGCAAATGGATAGAAAAGCAATATTTTGGCATGATGCTGTCATAATCTCTGTTTTGAAGACCAAGGGAGATTCCAAGTTGAGTAAACTCAGTATTACAGATCTGAAGAGACAGGTGAAGTGGTGGCGATCAATGAGTGAGGAAGATGAGGAGGAGTGTAGGAAAAAAAAGCTTGAGGAAAACTGTGTTGTAGCCTTCCTGCTTTTAAACTTGTGGTCAGATATTAGGAAATCAGGAGAGTCTGGAACAGCATATCTGAGAGTCATCCCAGGGAATGATACCTGAATTTGTGGGTTTGGATGATGATACTCCTGGAGACTGGATAAGAGAGTTAAGGACAGAACCTTTAGTTAATGCAAGCTAAGAAATTACAAAAAAAGACTTCAAATGCTCTGCATAGGAGCAGGTAGAGAGGTGGCAGATTTTGGAAGCCAAGGGAATAGAAGATTTCAAGAGGAGGCATGCTGGTGGAAATCTTAGCCTGCAGGAACTATTACATACTGGTTCACAGGGAATGCACTGTACAGAAGGCCAATTGGAAGAGAGTCTTGGATGAAATCAAAAGATTGGGAAGTCAGAAGTTACTGGCAGTTTTTTCAGTTAATTTAAAGATTCATATCTAAATCTGAGACCCTGATGTTGGAAACCCACTTATCTATGCTTATATTCTGTAGCAAAACCTAGGGAGAGTTAAAGAACAGTGTCAGTAAAACTGCTGCTGTCAGCTTGCTTTTCACGGTTTGATAGTGTTTCTCCATAAACACCAAGGGACTTTGAAATCTTGCATTTCAGAGTTTGTTCCTGAGAGTACCAGATATCCTCAAAGACAGCCTGGGGGCATTACCCTCATCCTTATATAAATCTGTATACTTCCAGCATTGTCCAAAACTTGCAAGTAATAAAAAAAAAAAAAAAATTAAAAGGTCATTTTCAGGAGCTTTATTGTGAGACCTTTCATATAGTCCCCAAGTGCCTTTGCTTAGCTTATCCCAGGACATCAGCAGCATATCAGTTTTCAAGTAATTCTTGAATGATGTAAATTTTTAAAGCTGTTTGAAATGCTTGAAACAGTGGTCAGCCTTAACTACAGTACTGGGGTGCCTCTAAGTAAAAAAACCAGTCTTTCTTTTAGCTGGGTTATGCCTCACAGAGCGCTCCCTTACAGGAGCTTCACTCCTTTCAGTTTGGCAAGCTGCAGTCGATCACTGTTTTGGCGTTTTAGGTGTTTCTTTCTACCACTTCTATGTGTGTATTTTTAAGGCAGAAAATGCAGATGTAACTATCTTAAATCTTCCACTTGTGTTGAGTCACGTACCTAAGGAGCTGGATGCAGAGGCTGTGTATACTGTGTCGGGGAGCCCCGTTTACGTGCCCTGTTCACACACCCTTCACCTCATTTTGCTAGTGCAGCTCGGCATTTTAACAAACTGCAGCTTCCACTTTGAGCAAGGTTTGCTAGTTGAGAAGTCATAAGACTCAAATTGCCTCAGCAGGAGTTAATGTTGGTTTGTTTTCACCTGGTGCTCCTCCAGACTTTTCTACTCTCATACATCCATCCCAGGATTATAGCTGGGGGCAGCCCTCCTTGACAAGCATAACTTCAGAACACTTTTGCCTTGAGATAGTGGTAACTGTTACTTGCTATCTCAGGAGCTCTTACTGGTAACTTGACTGCTCCTGACTGATTTTCTTGCTGTCTCTCTAGGAGGCAAAACACTTGGGTTGGTTTTTTTTAAAAAAAAAAAAAAAAAAGTTCCTCCCAGTTTTGCAAGAAGGCAGTGGGTTGATTTGTTCTGATTAAGGTATCTGGAAAACATGGTCATCAAAGGGAGAAGACCTGAACTTGCTGGCACTAGAACAAAAGCAGTTGAAAGCTGCCTATTGGTGGTTTCAGGTCTCCCTGAAAAAAATTCCTCACATTTTTTGCTTATGATCCTGCAACTTGAGGAGACGGCAAACAAATATTACAATACATCCCTCTGTATTGATCAAACACCTGTTCCTTTGTTCTTCGTTTAATTTGCTCAAATTCCCCAAGTAAGGCTTGTGAAGAAGGATTGCCATCTCCTGGGCAAGGCACACTAAGACAGTTTCTCCATCCACTCACAAGTCGAATTACGCTCTGCAGAGCGAGTTGACCTTGTATCCTTTTCTGCCATGTGTAAAAATAGTAGACACATGGCACACAGACTTACTTGCCTTTTCCTTTAAATCTGCATTGTGACACTTCTAAAGGCAATGTGACTAAACAGGCTGAAGCAGTTCCACTGCTCTGAGCTTTTGCATGTGATAACCCTTTGGGTGCTTAATGGTGTTTAGAGAGGATTGGATATTCACATTTGTTCTTAAACAGAAGCTGTTCGTTGCGCTGGGTGTCATAAAAAGAATCTGATTATTTTTAATTGTCTCCATCTTAAAATAAGATCTGTTTTACAAGTTAGGATGCAGAAAGTGTTTACAACTGACGTGAATGGTCAGTTTTTAAATGGTTAAACTTGTGATAGTTTCAGTCCTAGAAGAAGCCATGCATGGGCAAAAAGAGCACTTGAGGATTTTAGCTCTCTGGAGTGCATCCTGTATTTGTTACATGGTGAAGGGTGACCTGGAGCTGTGACACTTCTGTTGACGAGTGACTTCGCTCATCTCTCAAGACTGAAGGCAAATGTCACAGAAGTTCAGTCGCTATGTTAACAGCGCAGTTCAGCTGTGCTGGTTTGTTCCCACTGAGTATTAAGTGCTGGTCCAGCCATTTCTTCCCCTTTACACTATCCACCCCTAGAGAATTAGCTCAGTCCTGTGAGCATATGTTAACAAATAGTTTGCCATTTCATTTCTACGATCAGCTCAGCATCCTGATTATAGCTGCTGTGCTAAATGCTGAATGGCAGGGAAAAAAATGGAGTTGTTATTTATTATTTTATGCTGCAACTTAGAAAATCTGTAAAGCTATTTTAATATTTTATTTCTTCAGGATGTTGGTTCACTAAAGTTTTGTGTATTCAGGTCTCAGGAGCAACACCCTGTTTCTGGAATATTCACCTTAGAGAGGTTTTCAGACCTTTACTAGAAGCAGCTTTTTCTAAAAATCCTAATACATCTTGCGATATCAAGAGTTCAGGAATTACACAGCAGTTTCTAAATGCTGCAAAATTTATGTGTTTGTAAACTTTAACATAAATGTAAAACAGCACAGTAATGTACTGAAACTGTTAATCAAATGTTAAATGCTACTAAAAGGTCATATGTTTAGATTGAAAATCGCACATGCAGTCTTTTTTTCCTTTATAAAGCATGATGTGTAAATAACTAACTGTTAGGTTAAAATTGAGGTAGGCAGTTGCTTGTTTACTCAGAACTTCTTGCAATGATGAATGCTCCACTCCATAAATAATTGTAAGAGTTCTGGTTGAAAGGGGCCTCTGGAGACCATCTAGCCCAATCTTCCACTTGAAATGGGAGTGTTGCTAATGCTAAATCAGGTCAGCTGTGGCTTTGATTAGCTGAGTCTTAAAAACTTCCGCAGATGGAGACTTCAGAGCCTCTCTGGGCAAGTTCTGCTGGTGCTATACTGGGTTCTTAGTGATTTCCTAGCCCGCCACCCCAATGTCCAACCTGAACCTCCCAAGCCACAGTCTGTGGCCATTTCCCCCTGAATTACCTGCTTCCACTGAGAAGCATGTGGCAGTTATATTTAACTCTCCAGGTATTTGTGAGACTTCTGCTAGATGACACCTTAGCGCTCTCAACCGTTACTCCTAGGTCACACAAAAGGGTGGCACACGTATCCTTTGCATAGGAGAATCTCCAGAATAATGCAGAGTGGCTCAACAGCAGTAAGCTGAACTGTTGGGACCTCCACTCCAGCATACCTTCTTGGTAGGAGAAGGGAGCAAGTGGAGATGACAGCTGCCATGAGCAGTGGTAGCCTCATGTAATGTGCAGGTGTACTGTAGCCATCCAGAGGGCTGGCTGAGGTTTGGCTGTGTTGGGTGTAGATTCACAGGAGGCAATTGGGTCAGTTTCTAAGCTGTTATTCCTGATGTTCGTACCCGCACCTGCTGTAATCAGAGTAAGTGAAACCTGGAAGTGCAGCTGCTTTGAGACAGTGTGTGCTTGGTACCTCTTAGAATCATAGAATGGTTTGGGTTGGAAGGGACCTTAAAGATCATCTAGTTCCAACCCCCCTGACAGCAGCAGGGACACCTTCCACTAGACCAGGTTGCTCAAAGCCTCATCCAACCTGGCCTTGAACACTTCCAGGGAGGGGGCATCCACAACTTCCTTGGGCAACCTACTTCCTTGGGTAACCTTCTTGAAGAAGTAAACCCGTAGGCGAAACTGTCTTGCGCTTTACCTGACACGAAGGTTTGCATTTCCTCTGCTTTTACCCCTCTGCAGCGTTCCAACCCCCATGCTGCCTACCCCAACCCTGGACCAAGCACATCGCAGCCGCAGAGCAGCATGGGGTATTCAACTCCCCCCCAGCAGCCGCCACAGTACTCGCATCAGACACATCGGTACTGAGCTGCACCCCAATAACGTCAATGCACTGTTGCTAATGCTGCAGGACCGGCCGCGCAGCTGCCTGCCTGGAACCCGGCTTGGGCCACGAGAATGTACTGTAAAACCACACCTCCAACCTGTCCGACCACCATGATCCACCCCCTTCCACAGAGCGGAGTAGTGGCTCCCCAATCGTACCTGGTTTTGGGGTTAGACTTGAAAAGAAAGTGCTAGCACAGTTTGTATTGTGGATATGCTACTTCCATAGTTTACTTGACATGGTTCAGACTGATCGATGCATTTTTTTTTCAGTGACAGTCTGTAGCAGTTGAAGCTGTGAAATGTGCTAGGGGCAAGCATTTTTGTTGTCGTATGTGGTGAATTCTCTTGATGTAACAACTTTATCTGACCAATAGTACACAACATCTTTGAACTGGTACTTGAAGCATATAGTATATGTTACCATGGCAAAAAAGCAAACTAACCGTGACTCTGATTGAGACAATTTTGATAGACGTTTATTTTTAGTGACTTTTGTGGGTTGGTTAATTTTCCACCTAGATCAATGTTTTATGACCGACATGATTGCTACGACATGGGTTTTTTTAAGAACATGAAAACGTTTGCATTTTTCCCCAGCAATTCTGAGTGTCCCAAAGATTAATTTCCAACATAAATTTTTGGTTTTTGTTTTTAAATCTATGACTTGACTGGTATTAAAGCTGCTATTTGATAGTAAAATAAGTATGTTGTCATTGATATAAACATGTTTGGTTCAGCAAACAAACTAAAATGATTGTCATAGACAGTGTTCTATTTTTTTCCTGTTGGTGTTAATGATTTGTGAGCATGCTTTGGGATTAAAAAGCATGAATGATATTTCCTAAGAAGGTGCGGCATCCATTCAGCTATTTCGTCATGATTTTTGAGAACCAGCTTGGTGTAGTGGATTTTAAATTTTGTTCAGTTAAATTTTTTTTTAATGTTCGCACGTTGTTTAGGGGTGCCATTCCTACAGCAGAGGATCAAGGTGTTAGGAGAGCCTTAGAATTTATGAGGAAAAACTTACATACAATGTACTGTATCAAACTATTTTACATGAATGACACAAGTATTCTGAATAAAAAAAAAAAATCAAAACATTGTTAAAACAAGGTGTTATGTAATAAATTTATTTTTCATAAATCTGCATATGACCTTTGCCTGTATTCCTTTTTATCAACACCATCATCCCGCTCCCCCATTGTACTTCTCTATCGGCTTCTGTCCTGAGAAACAGTATCTGAGAGGAATTTTTCTTGCAAGTGGGCAGGCTGCCGTTAACTGCTGAGAAGGAATTTTTTTTTTTTTTAAATAGCAGAAAAAAATTACCAGTGCCTTCATAAAATGTCATTACTCCTGTTGCATACGTGTAGCCAATCCGCTGGAGACACGCTGAACGTGGGTTTATTGCTAGCTACATTTCATAGCTCAGACAGCTCCTTTTCATCTATAAAATCTAGAGAAGTTCCTGCCTGAATAATTCTTCTGAGGTTTCTGTAACTCATTCTTATCTTGGTACCTAACACCACACCATGATTTTGTGACAGAAATATATGCGGGATTTTTTTTCTGCAAGTGTTTCATGTAGTGTGAATATCAGCTAGAATGATCAATTTAAATGCACTCAGCGGCCGATGAGGGGCACAAGAAAAACCAAATTGGGAGCCAGCCTGAAACACAAGCCATGTTTGAGGTGAAGATGGAATTACCTGAGTGGAGTAGAGGTTTAAGTGAAGACTGAAAACTAAATTAAAAAAAATCTGAGTGCAGTTTATGCTGCTTTAGTAGTACTGTGTGGTGCCCTCTTCATTTTGATGCAAGTGTTGTCAAAATCTGGCTTGCCTCCATTTCCAGAGTGAAAAATAAATATATAGGTGCAAGTGTCTTACATTTGGTTTTGGTTTGTTTTTCATATTAAAGCCTTTTTTCATCCTTTCTTTAATTTATATATACACTTTGGACTTGCCTGTTTAGTATCTCTGGTTTCTTACCAGGTACTGAAATGGAGACAAGAGTAACTTTGGCCAAAGTACTATTGGTCTAGATTTTTTGCTTTCTTATTGATGCATATTCATATTAATGCCTAATAGTTAATATTATTCCTATTAATGCAAACCTTATTCGATACCAGTATATTGTGATGTTTCCAGTGCTTTGTTTAAAAGTAGCAGCCTGGCTTCTGGCTTTAATTGCATTTTTGCAAAGGGAAATGTGTCCCACTGACAAAAAGGCCTTTTGCCATAAGTTTGCACTTGAATTTAATTTTTTTACTAATAAGATACTTGAGATGAAGACACAGCTTATCAACTAATTATAATAAAACTAAATTATATTCTATATTTAGTTCTAAATAGCCTACTATTCCATTTGCAGTAGTTTCATTCATTCTGCTCCATTTCTAGTAAACATATTGCAGATTACCTCAACAAACTTAAGATCCTACAGGAAAGTCAAATATTAAAATTTGGATTGTTCTGCTGTCCGAGTCAGCTGGTCATTTGCAAGGAGGAGTTTGAGGTTTCTTTCTCCAGAACTGTGGAAAGAAAAGGTTTTTCAATCCTTGGTATAACCTCTGGTGCCCTCAAGACAGAGTATATTTCTGTTGCAGAGAAGATTGATTCTGTCATATTAATGACAATTATAAAGGATAAAAAAAAATTTCTTTTAATACTGGTTTTAGGACTACTGAAAGCAAGGCTTTAAATTACTTTGCTAGAAAAAAAGTAATCCTCTTCCTGTTTTGCTCTGGGGAGCTTTTTAGGTGAGAGTTACAGAAAGGGGAGGAAGAAGAAAGCACCTTTGAGAACATTTAATAGAGGAGTTGCAAATTCCCATGAGGGAGATGGCAGCTCGGCACGCAGCATTGGGCATGAGAGCTGTGCCTCTTTCCTCGCCTCGCTCAGCTTTTGTTACTAGATTCAAGAACTTCAAAGCTTTTCACTTTTCACCAACAATTATCTGGACTGATCTGGGTATATTTTGAATAGCTGGAGTCTGAGAGCCTGTCTTTGTTGCTCTGATTAAAGAACAAATTGTTTTTCTAGAGTAGGCTTATGTTGAAAATGGGTTACAAGCTTAACTTGATTGTGAGGATAAAGATGCTATTGCACTTTCACCTCAGCACTCCCAGCAAGCCGAGCTCATGGCAGCCCTGAATTTATCATACCTGCTAAGAACCTAGCTTCTTTAAGAAAAAGTAAGTAATTTTTGCAGTGACCCCTTTTAAAGAGAGTTTCACTATTAAGTGGTGGAGAGGAGCAGGCTGAGGAAGGAAATGAGACCGGTTCTGTCCTCTCCTTTCCTGTGTGTATATATGAATTGGAAAATGCTCACTGAATTGCCCATGGCAGTGCCCAGCTGAGGAGTGGGCCAGTGTCAGTTCAGCTTTTCTTCCAGTTTCCTTTTTCATTCATTCTGAAGCTACTGCTGGGCAGCATCTCTTCTGGGTCTGGGGTGATTAATCTGCAGGTGGCCAACTCCCCAACCAGCTAGGGTGGTTAAGCCTGAGCAGTAGAGGAGTGAGCAAACACATCTCTCCAAATCCCTTTTTACTTTGTGTGCAGTGCTTAATTTTTATGGGATTTATGTTTCCATGCTTTGCTTTCTCAGGGGAGATACCTAATGCAGGTGGCAGGTACGTGCCATTGCCTGTTCAAACAGTATCGCAGTCCTTGGCATCTCAGTTGTACTAGATGGGCTCCTCCAAAAGAAACAATCAAGTTCCTCCGTGTTTCTTTGCTGAGGGCCATCAGCAGCCCAAGTTCCAGGTGTTTCATCAGCTGCCATGTCTATGGTAGCTTTGTACAAAGCTTTCTCCACAGCATGGAACAGCACATTTCTGTGAGATTGATCATTAGGATGTTCTAATTTCTGATTGTTAGGATGTTATTTTATAGGAAGCGGTGTCAACTCTCCTTTGCCAACTGAAACAAGAAGACAAAAAGCCTCAGTGGAATGTTAAGTGAAGCAGAGTTAGCCATGTCATCTGAAATGGCCTTAAGCTCTGTCAAAAAGGATCTTGGAAGCTGTTCCTATAATTTTCACCATGTTTATGCCTCTTGCCCATTCAGACCCCAGCAGAGGTGGCAGTTAGTGAGAACAAGGGTTGGAGTCAATGGCAAGTGAAGATTTTATGTGAAGAAATGGCCTGTGCTGTTCCCTGGTGTCCATCAAGTTCTTTCTGAAATTGCTCTTTGATCAGTAAACAGCTCCTTGTTGTGTCTCCCCCAAGCCTATCCTGGCCTCACTGAAAGCAAAGCTGTGTTCTCTGCCTTTCATGTGTGGTGATTGTGGATGATTTTATGGGCATGGTTAAGCAGTTTGCCACCAAGTAGGATAATGTCAGTGGGATGGAGCCTGCAGGATCTCGTATGAGTTATTGTGTATCAGAAAGAGAGGACATAAATTATTTCACGGAGCCAGTGGTGAAGTTGCAGGTTTGCCATTTGGACTAAATGCTGTTGCCTCTGTCAGTTGAGCTTATCTCCTGTGGAAGGACTGAGTAATGTGGTGCTCCCTATATGCTATTTTAGTTACACCCCTGAATAGAGCAGCTGTTTTTTGTTGGGTAGCGCAACTGTCTCAGCATCTTCCTCTAGGCTGAGTGGTGACAGTACTTCAAGATGCCGGTTCTGAGACAGCTTAATAGCCAGCGTCCCTTGAGACCAAGGTAGATGAGCTTAATTCACTGTAATTTGCTTGTCACAGCTGTGGATGAAGAACACTTTGTGAAATAATATGTCAGACATCTGAATGATGGGATGTGCAAACTGCTGCAGCAGTAGGACAGGTAGAGAAAAGGTGCTTACCCTTTGAAAGCAAAACAGAAACAAAGCTGCTTCTTCCACCAGGACTCTTGCAGTAAGTTCCTCTCCTTGAGGATTTTCGTCAGCCTTCGTCTTGGTAATTGGCTTCAACGATGACAGAAGGCAGCTGTCTCCAGGGGACTGTCTTTAGTTAAAATGATCCTGTGCTGTAGGGATCCTTGGCACTAGCACTGATACTAATGAAGCCATTACCCTGGGGTGATGCACACCAGCTCCAGCCCAGGATGGGAATCTGGACAAGATCCATCACTGCTCTGAAAGCTCCCATGCTGCCAGGGTTAGGATATCTTTCCTTGGCCCTCTCACTGCATTTCTGGTCCTACTTAGGTGGGATGGTTACTCCACCTGAGCCAGGTGAGATGGAGAAAGGACTAGCAAAGGTGTGCTTGTTATTTAAGCAGCACAGTACACCCCCCGTGCCCATAGAAGCACCAAAGATAGCCTTTACAGCATCCATTTCCTCAGCCTGGGCTGTGGAAAGGCCACCCAGTGCCCAGAGCAAGCCCTTGCTTAATATTTATGGTAGCTCTGGGTTTGTACAATGCTTCACCCACTGCATTTCAGGAGCAGCAGTGTCTCTGCCACCCCACCAGCTACAGAAGAAATGCAGCCAGCTGAGGGAGATGAAGTAGGGGTTTATGTAAGGAGAGCTCCTGCAAGAGTGCTGATATCAGAGCTGAAAAGCCCTCAGCAGATGCCTGTGGGAGGCACTGTTCGGCCTTTCCCAAAGGCACTACATGAGAAGGCAAAGAATTGTCTTACCCTGGGAGATGCAAATAACACTCCTATCTTACGGGAGCTCATTCCTTCTCCAAGTCACTGTGCCAAAATCTGATCGTGTCCTCCATTTGTGATTCCAGTTTATGCAGGGTCGCTGGCTGATCTTCCCACAGGATGCTGGCAGGGTGTGCAGAGAACAATGCTTATCAATAAACTTTTAATTTAAAATTCTTGTTGCTGTTTATAGTTTCCCAAGTCTATGCAGGGACCTGTAAGACTTCCTACACCAGCCAACCTCCACCTTAGTGAGTTCTTCCTGTTAACTGGATAGGGAAGAAAATAGAATAAATTGGCGCGCTTCGCATCTGCTTCGCATCTGCTTCAGGCTCCTCTAGATCTGGATCAGAATTTGGAGATACCCAGCAAGCTCTGGAGAAGGATTCTTTGGGGATCACTTCTGTGTTTTTATGGCAGAAATGGTCACTGTGGCGGTGGTGTGCTCATGCACAGCTCAGGCACTCCTGATGTCCTCTGTGCATAGCCTTCAGGCTTTCCCCTGGCTCCCTGCCCTGTCTCCTTCAGAAGATTAGGAAAAGGTGAGAG